TGTTCTTGTCTCTAACGTACGTTGCGTTGATTGTTGCTGATCATTGTAATTCGCGTGTGCGTTTCTCCGTTACTTTTTGAGTAACGTTCAGTAATAGTGAGAGAGGTCATCAAACCTTCGCTTGGTCATTTCCATACGTGATTGTTCACTCGTGAATACATAAATTGTTGTGATCTTCACTCTTAAATAATAATGTTACAGATAACAATAAAATAATTTTGTTTTGCCTCTAACAACGTTTGAAATAATAATAGTGAATTAATTCTGCTTTGTTTGAAACAATAATAGATTAATCATTAATGTAATCGATTGTATGTATATACAAAACGCACATAGTATATGAATAAAATAATAGCAATAAAAAAGATTGAACCCCTGCTGTGGTTATTGTTAAATACACGAGCACGAAGCAGATTGATATGTATATAATAATGAAAGTAAATTATCAAATGCATTCTCTCCCATTCGGATAAAACGATTAGCATAGCTTCGAACTGCGTTAACGTAGCGTGAATCATTGATGTGAATACGTAACGATCCACAGCATAGAAGAAAAATTTCGAATTCAAATGCGCGTTCAAGTACACATACAAATTGCATCACAATTGCATTGCATTTGCGTTCGTTCGATCGGCACTTATACCTTGATGACTCGATCTTTTACAGAGGCTGGCTCGTTTTGTGATCGACATGCGTTTCCTCGTTCTTGGTCTGACATTAATTGTAAGTCTGCTAGTCGTAAGAAGAGTTTCTGCCCATGGAAGATTGATAGAGCCACCTTCGAGGGCCTCCATGTGGAGGTACGGCTTCGATACACCTCACGATTATAACGATCACGAGTGCTATTGCGGCGGGTTTACCAGGCAGTGGCAACGAAATAAAGGAAAATGTGGCATTTGTGGCGATCCCTGGGATTCTCCAACGGTGAGTTCTGAAAAAGAAAACGCTGAATGTTAGACATCCAGTCAACACCAACTAAAAATATAAAATAATATCAATTAATGTTATACTTTCACGTTTAACAAAAAAATTTAATTGTTATGTAACCATGTATTATATTATATTTGTATTGTTGAGAATACGAAATTATAACATTGATGTTATATTACTTTTAGTTAGTGTTGACTAGAGAAACATAAAACATAAAATTTTCTTATATAAATTTGATTTCAAATCTCTTTAGATCACTCTGCAATTATAATTTGACATACATCAATATGAATTTTTTTATTGTCTAAAAACTAAGATTAGAATTGTAATCTGTTTAGTACATAAATATATACAGTATCAAGAAGTCTCATGTCTCATCATTGTGTTTCAAGATGAGCTGTTTGTCGAGTTTGTCACACGACACGGCCTGCATTGGCCTTGCCGAATAATGGGAATCTGAGAGAGATTTAATTGTAATGACAATGGAAAATCTGCGAAGGTATAAGTTATTCGCGATGATAATTCGCGAATATATTACAGCTACGCTATATGTATGATTACTTCCCGACATCTCTCTTACAACACTGACTACACACCATTACGCGCGATTCTTCGCTCTGTTGATTGTGGAGGTACCATACAATACCGTTGTAACACATTTCGTCGACACATTTCTGAAAATTATGCAGTATGAATGTGGAAGGTCTGTGCGTGTCGACTGATTCTTTTACCTAAATGTTAATGAATAAAATACGTCGAAATTTAAATAGTAAAAAAAAGTCATTTGGCTAAGAAAGCAACTATTAAGCTTGAGACAAATGTCAAGTCGATGAAACAAATAACATGATTAATACGAAATAATTATTCGATCGACTCGATAATTGTTACAGTCATAATTCTCAACGGGAAAATTCTCTTTCATCAGACATTTTCGTTTGGAAGAAAAAGTTTTGCTGCTATATGTAGTAGCTATGCTAACACATTTTCGACGCTATTTGTTAAACGCTTATTCGTTTCTTCCTTTCTATATCTTCCTAATGAAAGTGAGTGAAATGTATTGTTTGCTGCAAAGCGTAGTTTATTATTCTGAATTAAATGACGTGCAATGATTCGAGACACGAGAGAAAGAAGTAAATACTTTCCTCGATGTTTAATAACAGAACGGCTTCGCAACCGTGAATTATTGATCAATTATTGATACATTGTTTTCCTTAGAATCGTGTATTCAAGCAATGAAATCATAAAATGTATTTGAATAAGAAGCAAAATCTTTTAATTTTGCAATTCTAATTCATCCCAAATGTTTTTCATATCACATGAATTAATATTTTATACAGAATTTTGTCTCCAATTCTGTCGTGTATTACAGACCGTCGAAAGTGAGCTTCATTCAAATTAGGATGATAAACAAAACTCAATTTATTCCGAATGATTTAATTGTTGTGAATTAAATCATCGGATTACAGCATAAAAATTATAAATCTAGAATTTTGCTTTCACTCTGATTGTGCATAGCGTTGACTACTCGAAAGAACTCGAAAGAAGAAAAGGACGGCGGTTACTATTATAATCTCTCATAGCTTTCGTGATCTCGTGTCTCGTATTCCTATTAATCGACCGCATTTTCGTTGCGAGACTTTTTATGCGGGATGCTTGGCCTTGATACGTATATCTGATATCGTATGGACGAAAGTAGCTCGAAACGGAAGTGAAATCCGTTTTCTTCTTTCTCTTTCTTTTATCAACATTCGCATTTATTTTCTTCCTCGCTTCACTTACATGCAAACGGAGTTCTGAAAGAAAAATATCCTATACTAATGTAATATTAGTATATAAAAGATTAATATACATATAACGTATTAATTATGATAAAGAAAATGTGCAGTAAATATTCTAACTTATTCCATTTTATTTTATTTTTTAGCCACGTGTTCATGAAACGGGCGGCAAGTATGGGAACGGCGTGATCGTTCGGCGTTATCGGACCGGATCGGTTATACCAGTCCGTGTAGAGTTGACGGCGAACCATCATGGCTACTTCGAGTTCCGCACCTGCGCCATGACCTATCGTGATCAGGAGGTCACCCAGGAATGTCTGGACCAACACCTGCTGCATGCTGAGAATGGATCCACCCGTTATTACCCTGGTCCCGGCAACCGGGTCTTCGAGGGTTATTACAAATTACCGGAGGATCTGACCTGCGCTCAATGCGTCTTCCAGTGGCGATACATTGCCGGGAATAATTGGGGCGACTGTGGCAACGGCACAGGTATGTCGATTCTCTCTGATATTTGACCACGAAATGCATATGCAGCGTCATTATGAATGAAGATACATATTATGGATTACCGAAGCATGCAAGGTCGCTGTTATCAAATTAAGACATAGACTCCAAAAAAAATAAATATATTGTCTGCTAAATTTATAATGGGCCAAATGGCAACAGAGAATGAAAATAGGTCAGAGTTCACATATGAAAGACGATCTGGAATAAATATTTTGCCGCAAATAGTATTTTATCGCAAATAATCTAAAAATTTTTGTTCTACCTAAATTTTTGAATTCTACCTTATATTCTTGATTCATATTTTAATTATATATGTATATATATGTATATATATATA